AAATTGTACAGTTAGTGCTCAATATATCATTGTTGAAGAATTAACCTTAAAAACAAAATACGTTGTTTTTAACAACAAGGGAAAGGATTTTGGAGATCTTTTTTAATTTCTGAGTGTCAAACTGTCCATTGCTTTGTTATTTAAAGACACTATTTTAAAAAAAGAAAAAGAAGTACCGGTACCACTAAAAACATTAAAGATGAATATGTAGTTTCTAACAACCCCTTTGTTGTATTCTGGCTTATTTACAATAGTTATAAATATGGTAAATTTCAAGTATTTCTGATTTCAACTCTTTTTCCCTCATAAACCATACTCTACACCAGGGGTAGTCAACCTTGGCTCTTTTATGACTTGTGGACTTCAACTCCCAGAATTCTGGAGTTGAAGTCCACGAGTCATAAAAGAGCCAAGGTTGAATACCCCTGCTCTACACCCTTATATTTTCCTTGTCTTTTGCCTTAACCAGAAGCTACTTTGATTAAAATCCTAGATGTTGAAGGTCAAACTAGACAAGACTTTGTTACATAGTTTGTACTGAGATGAATTTGTGTTTATCTAACAGCTACTTCAGAATATTCTGATTTCTTTGGCAAAGGGCAAAATGGCAACCTTCTTTATCCTGCATTACTATATTCCAGTTCCAAAAATATGTCAGAGCTGATGTTGACCAGAGATATTGCACCCACTGTCTCAATAACAATTGTACCACAACTGATATCTTCCAAACTTCTGCAATCTCTATTTACAAATCTTTGAAATCTTTTCCACTTCCTTGTCTTCAAAATTACCATCTCCTGGAATGGCTATGTTAATAAACCATTGTTCTTTTCAATAACAATGCTGTCTGGTGTGTTATATTTTAGGCATAATTTGGTATGAATTTAAAATGCCATAACATTTTTACTTTGTCACGTTCGGTGATTTTTATCTGTGATTTGATGATTCCAGTGATGCATATTGATTGTGAATCCATAGTTTTAAACATACATGCTAGTGTAATATCTTCTCAATTCAATCATAACCATTTTTGTAATCAGTCTGGGTTATTTTGCTACATCCAGTTACTATATACTCAACTGTCTTATCCTTACCTTGGCTCAAATGGAATTTACTACTTGTCTTTTCTGATTTTGCCTTGATAACTTTGGTGCATAGCGTTCTTCTTAAGACTAAAAAAAAACATTGCTTCTGTTTCCTTTTTTAATGTAACAATCTGAATAGTGCTGTCCAATTTTCCTTCAATACCTTTCAAAAAATACCCATGGAGTGCTTTGGTATTTTCAAATGTCATATTCAAGCTATTGTTTCTTATAGTCAAGTTTAGAGTCTATTTCTGTAAATTGCCTTTCTTTCTGAGATTCTTTTGATAACATTTCTCTATTTGTCTTAACGTAAAGCCCTCATTTTTTTGTCCTCTATGATTTGGTTTATCTGCAAAAGTCCTTGCTCACCAGTCTTCCTTCAAAGAGATATAATCTATTGACATCACTACATGTGGGAGGCACTATTTCTAGTTATCAATATTCTAGTTTGCTAACTAAGACCATCAAGGTCCTTCTAAATTCAAGCAAAATTCCTGCACTATGCCAGGTTTTATGCAATTAGTGTTTAAGTTTAAAAATTTTTGCAACAATGCCTTTCTAATAATATCTGCTAAGAAGATACAAGGCTTACTCTTAAGTGTATTAGAATCACAAGCCAATGATATTTGACAATGGGATACAGCAATATTTTGTTATTATCACAATATTATATTTAATTATGATACTTATCTTAGTACAGGGCTTTTCAACCAGTGGTATGGGTACAACCTGTGGTACATTGGCACCTGGCAGGTGGTACGCGACCATCCTAGAAAAGTGGTAGTGGGGGAGGGGAATGAGTTGAACCGGTGGCAGCATCGCACAAGCCTGAGCGAGAGATGGCTGGAGCTCCAGGGCTGTCAGGGCTCATCGGAAGCGCCAGGATCAGTGTCAGTCTCCAGCTGGAGCTCGGCGCTGATCCTGGTGCTTCTGCTGAGACCTGAAGAAGCACCAATCAGCTGGAAAGCAGCACTGATCCTGGTGCTTCTGAGCCCAGAAGAAGCGCCGATCAGCTGAAATGTTGCAGCATCTCCAGGGTCTTGTGATTTACATTCAGATGCTTGGCAACTGATTCATATTTATGACGGTCACAGTGTCCCAGGGTCATGTGAAGTGACCAAAACCTGCTGCAACCACCCAGCAGACGGGGGGAATAAAAACCAAACACCCTCCCACCCCCCCCCCACTGCCAATCCTCAACAGAAATGCTCACAACAATGGAAACCTCAGACAGGAGGAAGAGCGCCTCCGGGTGGGCAGGCAGGTGTCTTGCTTGGCTGTGGCTTGGGGGGCACTTTTTTCAGTGCCATTGTAACTTCAAGCAGTCACTAAGCGAACTGTTGTAAGTCGAGGACTACCTGTACTTTATCACTTTTTTCCTTTTGGGGGGGTCATGTTTTTGACACCTTGCTAGGCGACTGGTGGTACTCAGATGTTGCCATATCCTAAAAGTGGTACAATGGGTGAAAAGGTTGAAAAGCCCTGTCTTAGTATATATTTAAAATTATCATGCAATACCAGTTAGTAGTGAAGATTGGTGGCCAACATTATGCCATTATAGGTGTAGAAACATTGACAGAAATACATAACTAGAAAGAAAAATAATCTGCTAACTAAACTAGATGGCCGTGAGGGTCTGGATGGGGAGCAACAGACTCAGGCTCAACCCTTCCAAGACCGAGTGGCTGTGGCTACCGGCGCCTCGGCATAGTCAGCTGGTTCCATCGCTGACTATAGGGGGCGAAACTTTGGCCCCCTCGGATAGGGTGCGCAATCTGGGTGTCCTCCTGGATTCGCGGCTGACACTGGATGACCAGTTGGCGGCCGTGACCAGGGGGGCGTTTTATC